CCTCCTCAACGGCACCTAAAACAACAGCAACATACAATGGAATACCTTGCAGCTGAAAAAAGACCAATAAAAGTTCTTCACGTCCTAATATAGAATGATCTCTAATACATATTAAGTGAAAAGATCAGGGTTGAGAACAGTGTATAGAGCACAATACCATTTATGTAAGAAGACAGCCTCTGCTAACTCTAGGAGGATCCACGTTGTTTCCTCCAAAGGGGGGCACTGCGTGGAGAAGGGACAAGGACGGGGGAGGTTTTGTGCTGTGCGGTCTTTTGTGCCTTCTGAATTCTGGTAAATATGGAGAATATTGCTGTACAAAATACATAATTTTAAATGTTTTTAAAAATGCCAGGAGATTAGGTCAACTTACCTAGGAGAGAATGTAGGTAGAGACAGGAAGCAAAGAGACAATTGCTTCTCATATTATCCACATGAAGTAAATAGTAACAAGGAAGAAGTATAATTATCGTTACCGAGCTTTGAGGAGCAGATGTTCAGAAGGATTTAAAGGGCTCACCTTAGGTCATGCAGCCGGTAAGCCTGGATTTTCTGCTTCTTCCAAAATAGTACATTTCCCTCCACCTCTAAAACAATGTTTATATTTCTATAAGTTATTATATAGTTGTCTTTTAGAGCGGTTACCTATGTAACTTGAACAGTATAAATAGTGGCATATTTAATTTATGGGATCAGCATGAATTTTATGCTGAGAACAAATTTAGTTTATAAACTTGAGGCCCTCATAAGACCATGTTTTCTGAATGATTATTTTTGTTTGGATCATAGTATGTTGTGGATTTATTCACCGGATTTTTCCAGTCTCTTCCTCCTCCTAGCCTTTTAGCAGTTATTTCAGGCTTGTGTTCCTCATCCCTGCGAGAGATAGCAAGTGCACGCAGTGGGCAGTCACATCCTTTGATTTGGCAGCTACGGTCGTGGCTACAGGCCAAGCACATTATTGGCCAGTGCAAACAGTGTAATCATATTAGAGCTTCATATCCACAGCATTTTCCGGGTTTTCCTTTCATTGTATTATGCCTCACAAACAATCTCAGTTTTGTCCACTTATGACTTGCCACACTTCGAACCAAAAGCAACTATATTTGCATGTTCACATGCTGAATGATATATTTCAGTAAGAATATATGTATTTTTTATTTTAGCAAAATGCACAAAATTTACCGTTTTTACCTTTTTAAAGTATACAAATCAGTGGCATTAGGTCCATTCACAGTGTTGTGCAACCATCGCCACTGTCTAGTTCCAGAAGTTCTTCATCACTGGATTAGTTTCCTGTGGTAACAAAATACCACAAATTGATTGGCTTATAGAAACACAAATTTATTGTCTAAATTTGTGCCCAAATTAGGGTATAAGCCATGCTGATTAGTTCTGAGGGCCCTGAGAGACAGAGAAACTTCCATTCCTCTTTGCTAGCTTCTGGTGGTTCCTGGCGATCCTTGGTATTCCGTGGTTTCCATCTGCCTCCCTTGTCCCGTAGCTATCCTTCCTCTGTCTCCAGTCACAAAGGTGTATCGTCTCCTTTTTTATAAGCATATCAGTCATAGAGAATTGGGACCCACCTTACTGCAGTATCATCTCCTGTTATCTAACTGCTAACACCTTCAAAGACCCCGTTTCCAAATAGTCACATTTGCATGATACAGGGGTTAAGACTTCAACATATCTTTCAGGGGCCCCATTCAGTCCATAACAGTCACCCTAAATGGAAACCCATTATGCAGTTCCCCCCGTTCCTTCCTCTCCCCCGAGTCCCTGACAACCACTCATCTATCCTCTGCTTGTGTGGATTTGCCTCGTCTGGATATAAATGGAATTGTACAGTACGTGGCTGCTTGTGTCTGACTTCTTTTACTTCACATAATGTTCTTAAGGCTCATCCACATTGTACCATGTATCATGCATCAGTACTTCATTCCTTTCTGTGGCTGAATAATACTGCATTGAATGGATACACCACATTTGGTTATCAGTCTGTTCATGGGCATTTGAGATGTTTCCGTCTTTTGGAATAGAGCTGCTATAAATATTCATGTACAAGTAGTTTTTTTTAAAACACCAGTTTTTAATTCGAGTATATGCCTAGGAGTAGAATTACTGGTAACTCTGTGTTTAACTTTTTGAGGAACTGCCAAACTGTTCTCTCCAATGTCTGCATCATTTTACTCTCCCACCAGCAATGTGTGAGGGTTCTAATTTGGTATATTCTCATCAGCATTTTTTTTTTTTTTAACCATGCTAGTGAGTGTGAAGTGGTATCTCCTTGTGGTTTGGATTTGCATTTCCCTAATGACTGATGATGGTGAGCATCTGTTCACGTGCTTGTTGGCCATTTGTATATCGCCTTTGGAGAAATGTCTGTTAGAAGGTCCTTTGCCCTTTTTTTCATGAGGTTGTTTGTCTTTCTGTTGTTGAATAGTAAGAATTCTTTATATATTTTAGATACTAGACCTTTATCAGATACATGATTTGCAAATATTTTCTCCCATTCTGTGGATTGTCTTTTTACTCTCTTGATAGTGTCCTTTGATGCACCTAAGTTTTTAATTTTGATGAAGTTCTGTTTATTTTTTGTTTTTTGTTGCTTATGCTTTTGGTGTCATATTTAAGAAACTATTGCCAAATTAAAGCCCTGAAAATTTGCCCCTGTGTTTTTTTCTAAGAGTTTTATAGTTCTAGCTCTTGAATTTAGGTCTTTGACCATTTTGAGTTAATTTTTACATATGGTGTGAGGTAATTCACTCATTCTTCTGCATGTCATCATCCAGCTGTCCCAGCACCATTTCTTGAAGAGACTGTTCTTTCCCCAGGGAATGCCGTTGGCACCTTTGTCAAAAATCAGTTTACCATACATGTATGAGTTTATTTCTGGACTCTCAGTACGTGTATTTTTGATGCTTTAAATTTTTTGTTTATTACCATCATATTATTGTTGTTAGCATGTAAGCAACTTCTTTTCACCGCACTCCTGACAGTAAAGACACATTCCACTTAAATACCAATGATCCGTTACAGTAGTGATTCTGGGGTGATGGTGGGAGGGAGGAAAAATGGTCGTGCCCTTTCCCTTTGCCCCTCCCCGAAATTGCCCCTCCCTCACTGCTGTTGAGAAAGGTTACTTTAAATGATGTCCATCAAAATGTATGATGTATTTCTTATTTTACTGTTTCATATTTCCAAACACAGAAAGTTTAATCTACACAAAAGAATAATTTTATGGTTTTGAGTTTGACCTGCCTTCCATACATGAGAACCCTATTTTAAAATAGCTAAAAGTTCAGTTGTTGACTGTTGGTGATGCAGTGGTTAAGAGCTCAGCTGCTAACGAACAGGTCGGCAGTTTGAATCCACCAGTCGCTCCTTGGAAACCCTATGGGGCAGTTCTACTCTTTCTTATAGGGTCTCTGTGAGTCGGAATCGACTCGACAGCAGCAGTTAACAGGTCATTCTTTGATTTGCTTCTTAATGCCATGCTCCCTAAAATTATTAACATTTACCTTTAGCTTAAAAATCTCCCATCGTCCTGTTTTTAACTTTTCCCAGCACTAATCTGTCACCCTGAGACAGAAACGGTTGCTGTGGCAGCTGGTCATCGTGTGAGCTAGTACAGAACCAGAGCGGTGACCGATTTCCCTGGCAACAAGCTCTCCACATGGAGACAGACAGACCCCTTCTGGCTCTGTCTCCTAACTGACTCACACATCCCTCCCTGAAAAGCACAGCACATAGGGTGGGTCACAAAGCAGGATCCAGGGTTGAAGTGGCCATGAATGGACGTAAGGAAAGGCGAGGAGAAAAATGCCAAGAAAAGGAAGGACAGTGAAGAGCCTCATACTGCAAGTAAAAGAAGGGTTGTACTGGAGTGGGAATCATGGGAAAAAGTGGGTATTCTGAGGATAAATCATTTAATCAGTGCTTGTTTATATGAGAAGCCTCCTCTGGGTCTTACCTCCATGTTAAGGTCGGAATTGGTCAAGCATAATCCCTTGGCCCTCTGCTCTTCTCTCTGTACTTTCTCTCAATCATGGTAATTTTGCGGAGAACACATTAATTACACGTGATTCTTCATGTCCAAACTTGTATTATCTGACGTACATTGTGCTCATATCGAATAGATGTCCTGTTTAATTGAAGCAATAACAGTGGTGATAACTGCAGTTTGTGTGCCTGGCGTTCCAGAAGGGGCCGCCCTGATCGCCAGGTCCTTCTGCGGTTGCACCCCCAGCCCCGCCTTGGGCCTCTCAGAGCTGTAGACGGTCATCGTCCTTCCTCCTGCTGCCCTGGCTTCATTACCACGTGGGAACAAGTCAAAATACCCTACTGTTGACACTTGTTCAACTTCCGCGTTTCGCAGTGTCGTTATGCAGACCAAAACCAAACCACACCCATTGCCGCTGACTCGATTCCCACTCAGAGCAACCCTACAGGACAGAAAAAAACTGCCCCCCATAGGGTTTCCAGGGAGCGGCTTAGATTTGAACTGCCCACCTTTTGGTTAGCAGCTGGGCTCTTACCCACTGCGCCACCAGGGCTCCACAATGCAGACATTAGTGATCTGATGCTGACTCGTGTTGAAGAAGTACATGCGCAGGGGAAACTTTTTTTTAAGTTTTTTTCTCAGGGTTTTTGTTTTCTTAATCATTGTATTTACTTTCAGGGTTAAAAAAATTCAGGTCTGAAATACAGCATTTTAAGAAATTAAACTTTTTTATTCATCCTTATTGTAACCATTTTTGCACCTTTGTGCTCATATGACAGTGTTTTAAAAATACTTCCATCTGTTATTGCTAATGGTAACAACACTACCCAGTGGAAATAAATCTGATACAATTTTAACATAAATCGGTTTTCTGTGCCCTGGAGAGGTTTACTTCATGATATATTGCAGACGTTTAATCTGTTTACTTGTATTAAATATAGATATAGTAATAAATTTGACAAGACTGAACCTATATGCATATATTTTCCCAATATAGGGCATCACATTTGATGAATTCAGATCATTTTTCCAGTTTTTGAATAACCTAGAAGACTTTGCAATAGCCTTGAATATGTATAACTTTGCAAGTCGTTCTATAGGGCAAGGTAAGTAATCATCTTTTAAAAATTAACAGCAAAAAATAATCCTGCATTGTTTTTAGGAATGTTGGGAACAGATTAATTAAATATGTCCTATTAGCCATCAGCTTGCCTAAAAGTCTAATGTATTCTTTCAGGAGGAAGTTAGTTCTGACACTTAAAGAAAAATAAGCAAAGATGAGGGAAATATGCTAAATTTTAGTACTGAATTTATTACTGCTCTTACTTTCATATTATAGGGAAAAGCTAACGATGTCTGTAAAAGTTAGAGAGGAAGAAACCTCGTGGCCACTTGATAACACTGAGGGATGTGTGGCTCTCTGGAGAAGGGCCAGCTGGCCGTGCCTCCAGCGTCCTCACAGGATATGGCGTTTTTATCTTGCTGATTTTACTCGCAATCCCTGCTGGCTCAGAAACCTGACCTGTCAACATAGCCTTTCTCAGGAGAGGACTTAGACTAACAGAATTTTGAAAATAATGTGTAAAACTGAATATCAATTTTGCTTCATTTACAAAGAGAAATACAACTGTCACAAAAATCAGAATGCTGTTCTCCTCAGAAGCAGCTCATTCTTTTTCTGTAGGTGGACAAACAAGCCAAATGGTAATCAGAATAGTGTCGGTGAATATGAATCAGAACGAAGAGAGTCAGGTGACACATCCGTCTAGTGATAGCGTGGTGCTAGGAAACTGAGTCGCGTGAGCCACAAGCCCCTGCCACCATCTCCACCTGAGGGATGGCCTTGTCTGCGGGTTTGGGATACCAGCTTTCTGTCAGTAAATACTCTTCAGTATTTCCCAGACAACTCACAGAATAGTCTTTCTAAACCACAGATCAACCTTTCTGCAACATGCCTGCTGTGGAAAACTTTTCATTTTCCAAATTGCCTGTTGAAAACTGCAGGTTCCTCACCTCATGGTCTCCTGTGAGGACTTTTCCAGCTCCTGTATGTTCCCTGCTGACTGTGCCTTGTGTTCTCATGGCCCCCCGCGCCCGTGTTCACTCACGCCATCTCATCTGCCATTTCTCTCATCCCTGCCAGCCGACATCCCTGTGTCCTTCGGGGCTCAGCTCAAATACGAAGCCACAGCCTTTCCTAATCCCTCCCCTTCTCTCCCTTCTCCCCGCTGCACGCTTCCAACAAAGAGAATCACCATCTCCAATTCTCACAGCACTCTGTTGGCATCTTTCCTGTAATGGTTAATTGGACAGCTGTCTCATCTCCCATTTGAGAACTTAGTCATCAAAATGACCTCTGAATTATCTGTTGCTGATAGTAGGTGCTCACTAAACAGTCAGCGAATAAGAACACATCATCAAGCTACCGCTTCTTGGATCTTTTCATTAAAACCGCAGAGATTTTTGCTCCCTAAAGGCAGAATGATTATTGAAGACATCGTGAGGTATATAAGATCATGACTCATGCTTAGAAACAGCTTCTGTTACAACCTTTCTAATAATCAACATATAGTATTACGACAGTGTTAATGGTCTGCTTTTTCTTTTTATGTGACATCTATCTAGATGAATTTAAGCGTGCCGTCTATGTAGCCACTGGCCTGAAACTTTCACCACATTTAGTGAACACTGTCTTCAAGATTTTCGACGTTGACAAAGATGATCAATTAAGTTATAAAGAGTTTATTGGAATTATGAAAGACAGACTCCATAGAGGATTCCGGGTAAACCTGTAAATTTCAAGCCTATTGAGATCCTTTTTAAAATCTGAAAGAAAAAAAAATCCATCTAGGTTTCAGAAATAATTTTTATAAATTTTTAAGGACATAAACATGAAATGTTTTATTTGGAAGGAAAAAGCATATCCCATACCTGCTTTCAGAAAGGATTCAAGATAATGAAAAATGACACTTTTTTAAAAAATCTAAAATCAGTTTAACTTGCAGTGATTTATTTTCATATTCAGTTAGTTTAATGTCTCCATCCCAGTTTGCGGGGGAGGGGGTGTTGCCAAATATTTTCTAAAAATCCAGGCCGCGCATAGGCTTTCCAGACTCGTGACTGTACGAAGAATATCACCGTTTCTCATGGAACACAGATTCCTACCAGACAGCGTGAGGCTCCTGACGTCACTGCATATTCAGTACTTTATATGGAAAATAAGAAAACATATTTTTTGTCAGTTGCACTTTTTTTCTTTTAACATACTACAGAATAATTACTAGAAATACAGTGATTTTTTTCTAACAAGCGTGTTTTAAAGAATGAAATTATAGCATGAGTCAGTGACTGCACATCTAACATTTGTGGGTGTGCCATAAATGGAAAAAGAAGAGAATTTTTTTTATTAACATATAGAATATTCAGTCTTTCCTCTTTGGCAAGAATATCACTAAGTATTATACATTTGGAGCCCTGGTGGCGTAATGGCTAAGAGCTCGGCTGCTAACCAGAATGTCAGCAGTTGAGATCCACCAGCCGCTCCTTGGAAACCCTGTGGGGCAGTTCTGCTCTGTCCTATAGGGTCGCTGTGAGTCAGAACCGACTCGACGGCACACAGCAAGAACAACATTATACATTTAAAAAGAGAAACATTTATATATGTAAAAAAAGATTCATTTTAGACAATGTTTTTAAAGATTTTTAGTGACTTTTTGAAGTCCAGGCTGTCTTGATAAAGATGCTGTGTACTGCCACCTAGTGGTTCCTTGTTAGCATGTAGGTGATGCCACAGATCACCGCAAGGATAGACATTGAAAATCACTTGTTTTTCCTCAAAAACTTGAGAGTGGCGAGATCAAACTAAAGTATAAACTGTGACGTAAACCTCTGTCATGCATCGCTCTCTTAGGTGTTGGTATTTTCATGTGTATTTATGTATGTATTTATTGCACACTCGTGGCATTCGTGACGTTCTGTTTGCATTTTCATACTCTGATCTTTATTCCACAGGGTTATAAGACAGTTCAGAAGTATCCTACTTTCAAATCCTGTCTGAAGAAGGAACTTCATAGCAGATAAGTACGTTAGCTTCTCTGCTTTTTCTAAATATGATGGCTCAGTAATAATAAAGGGTCACAGCTTATTTGTCTAATATCCAGAAAATAGCTGCAAGGAATAGAATTATAATTTGTTTTTAATTTTTAAGAAGGCACGATTTCATTTTAGTGTGCTAATTCAACTTAAGAATTAGTGTTTATGACAAAATGTTAGCTTGCCATTGTTGAGGTGTGATCTAAAACTGGACTGAACACACTCATCTGATGGGAATTCTTATTGGAGTGTCTTGATTAAAAATTTTTCTGTTTAACCTGCAGTTTGTACTTGAGTGGATGTGATATAATAAATCCACATGGGATTATTGTAATCTAGGATAATTTCAACCCAGGGAATACTGGTTACTGGTTTTAAATCATGGTTCTGAACGTTCGCTACAGAAATAGCGAATTGTTTTAGAGTTCTTTCTAGGTGCCTGGTGCTGTTCCAAGTGTTCTTCCCCGTGTAGTATCTTATTTAATCCTCGCACACATCCCATTTCACAGCAGGGAGAAATCAGGGCTTAGAGAGTGAGTAATTTGCCCAAGGTCACAGGGTTAGTATGTGCAGACCAGGGTTTGAACCTCATCCTGTCTGATGGAAAAGCCCATGTTATTTATTATTCACTACACTATTACGAAACCAAAAGAAACAAACTCACGGCCGTCGAGTAGATTCCAACTCATAGCGACCCTACAGGACAGAGTAGAACTGCTGCCCCATGGGGTTTCCGAGGAGCAGCTGGTGGATTCGAACTGCCGACCTTTTGGTTAGTGGCTGTAGCTCTTAACCACTGCGCCAACCAGGACTCCACACTATTACCACACGTTGCAGTAGTTGAGAAAAATATGTGAGATTTGTTAGATTATATGTTGACCTAAACAAATACCTCAGACTTGTTGCTAATCTCAAAAATGAGGAATTTGTTTTCCATTTTTTAATTTTAAAAGCCAACTGTAGCTGTATAATTTTGGTCAATTGTGAGTGCTGATGAGTTGGGTTTTTACAATGGAGGTTTTGTTGTTCATTTATAAACGCTCGCAAAGATATCCACGTATGTATTTTTTGCTGTGTTTCTCAAGCTGGAAACATTTATGTATGTCTGTCTATAGCAGTGTCGGGGTCCCTGGGTGGTGCCCAAAGTTAACACACTCAGCGGCTAACCAAAGGATCAGCAGTTCCAGTCTACCCATAGGCGCCTCGGAAGAAAGCCCTGGCAGTCTACTTCTGAAAAAGCCATTGACAACCCTGTGGAGCACAGCTCTATTGTGACGCATATGGGGTCACCATGAGTCGGAATCAACTCTATGACAAGTGTTCCCCAAAGTAATTCAACAGGATATTAATGAATATTACTCTAAAAAAACAAAAAAAGAGTTGCTTAGTCAAATAAGTTTGAGAAATATCATAATAAACACAGTTAAATAGATTCCTTCCCACGTAGAACTTACGGGTCTTTTATATGTCTCTCTAAAAGAAAACTGCAGTATTCAGCATTTTGCCAAGCAACTCTGAGGCTTGGTGTTTTAGGAACCCACTTTGGGAAATGCTGATCTAAAATGTTTAGAGGCAGGTGGGCTCATTTACTTATCTCTGGTGGTAACTGTTGTAATCAAACTAACAAAAGAAGTTAGGTCTTTCTGCTCTCTAGGACCGGTAGCTCAGTGGTAGAATTCTTGCCTTCCACGAAGGAGACCTGGGTTCGAATCCCAGCCAGTGCACCTCATGCGCAGCCACCACCCATCTGTCAGTGGAGGCTGCATGTAGCTAGGATGCTAAACAGGTTTTAGCAGAGCTTCTAGACAAAAATGGACTAGGAAGAAAAGCCTGGTGATCTACTTCCGAAAATCAGCCAGTGGTTCAAAACAGTCCAGTCTGCAGTCAGTCATGGAGACGGCACAGGACTGGTGCTGCATTTCGTTCGGTTACGTGTGGGGTCGCCATGACTTGGGGGTGACTCAGCAGCAACCAACAACAGTAACAGACTGCCCTGTGACACCTTAAAACAAAAACAAAGTGGGGCCATACCATCTACAGTCCGTGTAGTGTTCCCAACCAAGTAATAACAGTGTCACACTAAGTGTATTGATCCGATGCAATAGGGCATAAACCGTGGATAGAAATGACTTCAGTTCCTCTACGCCTTCATAAGACTGAGGGTTAGACATGTGACTAAGCAGAATATTGAACTTGCAGTCAGAGGAAATGTTTAATGATTATTTTATTTCTTATATTTTCTGTTGGGTATTGTTTATTGTAAGTCTTACTGTTTCGTATTATTATCACAGTCATTTTGTATTTATGTCATCAACTCTGAATGACATCCTAAACAAAGACGGCTTTTGTGTTACTGCTTTCCTTGGTTTCCTCAGGTACTCCTAAGAGAAAGCTTGAAGCATCGTTGTCTCCGTGGAGGATGCAACAAGCAAAACTTTCAGAGACTGGTGGAAGCAGGTCTCAGATCACAGCACGTAGAAAGGAAGCAAAAGGTGAAACGCTACGAAAAGTATATTTTTTTCTTGAACTGAGTCCTCAGATGTAGCACAGATGAGTTGTATCTTCTAACTACAAAGGTTATGTTATCAAGTTGCGCTTTTGCCTTGATTTAGTGAACTTTGCACTTCTTCATTCCTTTCAGGAGTATATCCATACTTCTAATAACTATATAGGAATATATTTTAAATATTTTTTCTTATTTATTAGAAATTTGTGTCATTTCAAAATAATATATTACTCACGGACTATAGATCACCTAAAAATGAACAACACTTTTTTTTTTTTTTTTTTTTTTAGTTTCGGACTGTGAACTTGTTTTCAGAAAATTTATGTTGCTTGAAATTAACCTTAATGCCCTTAGAATTATTAGTAAATCCCTTTTATTTTCCAGGTTTTTAATCACATTGGAATAATTTTTTTAAATAATAGAAAGTAGGCTACTATATAATACAATAGTTTACACTGTACTTTTAACTTTTAAAAGTACTTGACATACATTGTTTGAATTGCATAAAGTTTTTTTTTTTTTAATTTTTGTTCATTTACCAAAGTCAACAGAATGTCTGGTATTCTTTGATGTATACAGTAAAGAAATTTAAAACTGATTTTTTTCCTTTGACAAAATGGATGGTAGAAGCAGTGGTGGTGGTTGTAACAGTATTCATTGTCAGCGTCGTCATTGTCTTGAACGCGATGCCGCTCTTGATTGCAGTTGGTATATGTTAGTAACACTAATATCTCACAGCTCTGTAACTTATTGCATATTGTTATATGTTTGTAATGTCTAAATGTGTATTATAAAAGACTAATATAAAATGGTTAAAAAGACTGATGTATATATTAAGTAGTTAATATTTTGTGTCTTACAAAAGGACCGCATGCAAAAGTGATGCCAAATGTTCAGAGTAATTATAAATAATTTAAATATTATTAATTATTTCAAAATAATCGTCTTAAAGGGGAAAAAGAAAAACTTGCAATAGAAAATAACACAATTAGATTTTCAAATGGAGAAAATAATTTGATGGTACTTAACAGAATCTGCTCAATTTGAAAAGTGTACTTTATATAAGGATACTATACAAAAATAGAGCAATGAATTTAAGCTAACAAACTGATATATGTGGAAGATGTTTATTTGTCTAAGACATTTAATTTAAGGTTACACACACTCCAACTGTTACATTGCTTTTGCATATGAAAATAAAAGCACCAACTTTGTTTTTATAAGTTATTAAATGTGAAATTGATCGTTATCAGACTATTTATAAAGGTAATGTTATTTCCAAGAAAATGTTATCATTACCATTGACTATGTATTTGATAGACTTTTTACATTCTTTATATTGTTTATTACACTGATATAGAAGTATGTGTTTCATAAGTGTAAGGATTCCATATAGTAATAATAATTTAATTTTATGTGTTTTAAAGGTTGAGTCAGTTGAGCATCTTGTAAGATTGACTGAATGAAAATCCTATCCACTCACAGTGAATGTTCTCAATGTTAATTATTTGCTATCTAAAATAACTGAAAAAAATGCAGTTTACTTCAATCTTTGACTATGTTCTATTATCTTGCATACATAGAAAAATTGCTCTTTCAAAAGTCCTGCAAATGTAGTTACAAACTGAACTGGCTCGTGAAAATCCTTTATTTGTCTGCCGCCCCCCTAAGAAAGGACACCAGGCTGTGACTCCTGTCATCTTTATTCTTTGTTGCTTATCAGAGTGAGTGGATGAATATCTGTGTATAATGCTGCAGTATAATAGTAAAATGTGAATAAATAAAATTTTCTGAGCAATTAAAATGGAAAAAAAGAGTAAATTACAGCAATTTCATTCATATCAGTGTTCTTGAACTTTGTCCTCTGTAAAATGGAAGGTAAAATGATCTCAGTGGATTAATGTGTAAAAACAGTATAAAATGCTTTGAAAACAATAATATACTAAATACATGCATGCTCTTATTCTTGGTCTTTCCTTCTACAAACTCTTCTTCGTCAAGACAGAGATGTACATAAAACTGGTGTCATACTTTTTACAGAGTCTGTGTAGTAAAGGTTTATGGTACTTCTCACAGTCATTTCGTAATAAGAAATTTGTTTAACTTAAGTTCCAATTTATTGTTCTTATTACAATATGTAATTGTAAAGCAACCTGATTATCTTATATTATCTTAAAATAAACATACCTGCCCTTGAATCAAGAAGTTTAGTGCTGTGCTTTTGTGTATATCTGTGAACCATTGTCTTTCTGAAATGTCACCTCCAAAATTTGGAAATCTTGTGGATCACCGAACCTCCACTCATTGTACACCCTCTGCTGTGAGAGACCATGGCAGTGAGGTTGATCTCCCCAGCCTTTGTGAGTCAGTCCCAGAGCCATAAAACCTCTCCAAGTGTATCATAGGAATTCCTACCACAGAGAACTTACGGCCGCTGGTACTGGAAAGCTTTTCTGAAAGCTTACATCCTGGAGTATCCATTTTGCTTTGCAGAACTGATTGTTTAAATGTCTTAAAATTATTAAACCAATACTATGCCAGCCCCTATTTAAGTATTACTGGTGTTTTTGTAGGCATTGTCTTACTAAAGCAACTCCTACAAATTTATCAGTTTTCAAAATATGCTAGTTATTGTCCTACGTTTTATAGCCATACAGTGAAATACATCTTTTGCATAATAATTTGATGTCCAAAGAATGTGAAAATATGAATTATATAGTATTCAGTAAGTATAAAAATTTGAAGATGAGAAAGTGTTGTGCTTTGCTTTTTTACAATTTGGAGCATTTTTACTTTCTGAGCTCATGAAATAATGGACATTTTGCGGTCAAATGCACTTAGATTTTGTGAAATACTATATAATAAAAATTAGTGCAAAGATATAACACTGTATCTTTGTACCTTTACGATTCTCTTTCTGTCGCAGTCAGTATTTCTGGCTCACGTCTTGTGAACTGAGGCGTACACCTGTCATTGTGACAACATGCATGTAAGTATACAGTGCTGAGCACAAGTAGAGACAACAGCATTATAAAAATTTTCTGGAGAAGTTAAATTTTGTTCAGCATTGTGAAGGAAGAAGAGACAAAAAATGGAAAAAAATAAGAATGGAGAAGTGATCTGAATTAGGATAGATTTTAAAAACTGGGGCTGAGTAAACAGTTTGTAAGAAAGTAAATGTAAAGAAATGCAGGCTAAATCAGTCGTGACAATACACCCTTTCATATGGCAGATTGAAAAGACAGAATCTTTTATAATATGTAGTGTTGGCGAGTGTGTTGCTGGCGAAGCTATAAATTTGGGTGCAGCATCTTTGGAGAGCAATATAGAAATATCTCAAATTTTTTTCCTAGAATTCTGGGATTTTATCTTGTGATAGATAATATCCCAATACCTATATTCATAAATTTACAAGCCAACAAATATACAGTTTGTAACTCTGAAAAAGAATTAAGTCCATTTAGCGTGTTGATAGGACATGGTCTGCAAGATATTTTTACAGGAGCACAGCAAGGTAGGAAACTGTGTATGCTGTGCTACCGTTTGTGTTTAAAACACACACTTCTGTATGCATAGAATTTTATTTTAATACATTTTTATCAAAATTATGTGTACATATTTTTTAAAAGTCAAAGAATTGTCAAAGATGTGTAATAAAAAATAGCCTCCCCAAGTCCTGTCTCCTTCCAGCCTCATTCCTGGTCCTCAGAAGCAATCCCTTTCGGTGATTTTAGCAGTTTCTTTGGTATCTACCCTTGTATTTCTAAGTAATATATTTATATTGCTATTTCTTGATTTGCTTTTAACTTTTAGATTATTAACTGTTGACTTCCCACAATGGAAGATAAGCATTTGCCTCTCTTACTCAAGCCCCCTCCAAGACACACCACACACTTCCTCCTCTCTACCCTTTCGGTATAGTTAGAGCCTGATGTTGGATCAATTATTGCGTCATTATCGATTACATTTTCTCTCAGATACATCTTCCTTTCCCTAGGGTTAAGGTTCTCCTTTCATTTTGCTTAATTTTTTATTGTCCCTCTTAATTTGCCTGTCGTTAATTCATCCTCAGCCTCTTTACCAGAACGATACGTAGATGGTTAATACAGTCAAACACATCAAGTAATAGATCGTTTTATTATTATTACTTTAGAAGTACCTTCTGGAGCTCTTGGTCTCACTGGCCCATCTAGAATGCTTGTTCTCAGGCCTGGTGCAGAGCTGTCATTCCAGGATTTCCTTCTCCATTGTCCTGAAGATTCCTTCCACCCTCTCCAGCACCCAGGTCTCCTCTTATGTTTTCATTTTTTGGAGTGGATCACAATTCTCCATATTTCCTGAGAAAGGCTGCATTGTATATGCATTTTTGAGATGTAGTATGCCTGAAAATGCCTTTATTCTACCTTCATGCATGAGTAACAGTGTGCCTGGGTATAGACATCTAGAATGATACACTTTTCCCCCAGAATTTTGAAAGCATTGCCCCATTGTCCTCTAGCTTTCAATGTTGTTCTCAAGAAATCAGATACAATTCTGATTCCTGGCCAATTCTTTTCTCTCTGGAAAGTGGGATCTTCTCTTTGTTCCTACTGTTCTGAAATTTCACGCTGATGAACTAAAAGACCTTCAGGTTTTTGATTCATTGATTGTGCTGGGCACTCAGAATCCCTTGCAATCTAAAAACATGCCATTCAGTTCAGCAGAAAAAAGAAAATGTAACTATTTCTTTGAGAATTTCCTTGCCTCTTACTTTCTTCTCCAGTTCTTTTGGGAATTTCTATTATTCGGACATTAAACCTATACTCAGCCTTTAATTTTTCTTCATTTTTTTTTTTTTTTTTGGTATCTTTAAGATTTCTTCACTTTAACTTCCATCCAGTCTCTCGAGTATTTTATTTATTCCATCAGATTTTAAATGTTTTTCTCTAAATTTTCTTTTTTTTAATCTGTTCCTGTTTAATCAGTTGCTTTTATTTGCTCTCTGATTATTTAATTTCAGTTTCTTTAAAGTGTTCTTCTGCTCCTTTCTTCGCCTCATTCCTTTTTTTCTGTTTGAGTTTCTCGTATTAGACATTTTTCTCAAATATATGGTAATTCTGTACTATCTATCCGTATTTAAAAAACAAATTGGAAGCTCTGTGTACATGGGATGAGCTTTTTACTGATGAGTTTGCCTCTCTGATGTTCTGGCCAGGCCGTTTCATCTGAGGGACCTCAACTATCAGTATTGATACGTCCTGTCTGCTTGCCCGCTCAGTTTTCTCCTGCCTGGTGCACCAAAGC